GCTCATCTCGATAGCATATATAGTGAGAATATTAGGGCATCGAGGTACGCTGCTACAAAGGAGTTGATCAATGCGAGACTGCGCGAAGGGACTTCGGTCCATGAGCATTGTCTAAAAATGATCACTCTCCTTGAAAAACTAGTGAATCTTTATGTCACCCTCCTTGCCGAGCTCTCGTTAGATTTGATCCTGTTGTCTCTTCCTAGTTCCTATGAATCGTTCGTAGTGAACTTCAACATGAACAGACTAGATCCTCCATTGGATGAGTTAATGAACATGTTGGTCAGTTTCGAGTCCACCATTAAGAAAGAGAAGTCTGTTCTCGTTGCTGCTACTTCTGAAAAGAAGAGTTCTTCCCAAAAGAAAAGAAAGGAAAGAGTTCCCTTCCCAAACAGCAAGTTCGAAGTGGGTGAAGGTAGTGGGGGCCCCAAGGCAAAGGTCAGCAAGCAAGTTGATGATGCTTGCCATCATTGTGGAAAGAAAGGACATTGGCGCCGCAACTGCAAGGCTTACCTAAAGCAGAAACATTCTAAAAAGGGTACGTATTTCATGGACGTAAATTTGTCTGTCAATTCTTCTTCTTGGGTATTGGACACGGACTGTGGCTGACTCTTATGTAATGATTTGCAGCTAATGAAAGCTTAGAGCGGGTGAGATCTACCTAAGGATGGGGAATGGAGAAAGAGTTGCTGCTGAAGCCATTGGCACAATTTACTTAAATGTTTTGGATTCTAGTTTTCCTATTGATTTGAAAGATTGTTTATTTATTCCGTCTCTCATTAGAAACCTTATTTCTATTCTTGTATTATATATTGAAGGTTTTATTTTTGTTTTTGGAAATTCGATTTGCAATGGACAACTATTAAACAACTTATATGAACTAAATCCAAGTGAAATACCAATTAATGTTATATCAGCAAAACGTAAGGAGATAGATCAAAACCCCGCACAACTTTGGCACGCTAGATTAGGTCATGTCTCTTTAAGATGGATGAAAGATTTTTTTAGTGAAGGATTGTTCACTTTGGACGACGTGAAATCACTACAAACTTGTGAATCTTGCCTTAAAGGGAAAATGACCAAGTCACCCTACAAAGGGAAAATGGAGTGGGCCGAAGGTATTTTGGATTTGATCCATACAGACGTATGTGGTCCACTAAGTGTTAGTGCGAAGGGTGGATACTACTATTTCGCTACCTTTACTGACGATTATTCTAGGTATGGGTACGTGTACTTGATGAAGTACAAGTTCGAAACATTTGAAAAGTTCAAAGATTTTAGACACGAAGTAGAGAAGCAACTCGGACGAAGTATTAAGAAACTACGATCCGACCGTGGTGGAGAATACTTGAGCATCGAGTTCATAGACTATCTAAAAGAGAATGAAATACAATCTCAATGGACTCCACCTGAAACTCCTCAACTTAATGGAGTTTCCGAACGTCGGAATAGAACCTTGTTAGACATGGTTTGATCTATGATGGGGTTCACCAACTTACCGGCATACTTGTGGGGTCATGCACTTCACACTGCCGCGTATTTGCTGAATATAGTTAACACCAAAGCAGTTAAATCCACACCATGTGAACTTTGGCATTCCCGGAACCCCAACTTCAAACATATTATGATATGGGGTTGTCCCGCTTATGTGAAGCAATTAGTGGTAGATAAGTTGGATAGTAAATCCGACTTATGCTACTTTGTGGGGTATCCCGAAGACTCAATGGGATACGAATTCTATTATGTCAAGGAAGCAAAGACGTTTGTTTCGAGAAATGCCATTTTTTTTTAAAGGGAGTTTTTATCCGATAGAAAAGGCAACATGATAGAACTTGAAGTAGTTCAAGAACCGTAAAGTGAAGTTCAAGCGCAAGAACAAGTAATCGAACCAATACAACAATCCACTTATATACCTCCTGAACCTACAGTGCGTAGATCCGAAAGAGTTCGGAAAATGCCGGATAAGTTATTCCTCCTTGAAAATGATGAAGATCATGTTGATCTTGGACAAGATCCCAGAACATACAATGAGGCCGTATCGGATGCGGACATGGGACATTGGCTAACTGCCATGAAATCTGAAATGGACTCCATGTACTCCAACAAGGTGTGGACCTTGGTAGATCCACCTAAGGGAATATTTCCCATAGGCTGCAAGTGAATCTATAAGAAGAAAATTGGAGTGGATGGAAAGGTATCGACCTATAAAGCTAGATTGGTAGCGAAAGGATATACTCAAAGGCAAGGTGTTGACTATGAGGAAACCTTTTCACCAGTCGCGATGCTGAAGTCCATTAGGATTTTGCGGGCCATAGCTGCGTGGTATGACTAGGAGATATGGCAAATGGATGTGAAGACCGCTTTCCTTAATGGAGACATTGAGGAAGAAATTTACATGGCCCAGCCGGAAGGCTTCATATCTTCTGGAAGTGAGCAAAAGGTTTGCAAACTCTAGCGATCCATTTATGGATTGAAACAAGCATCCCGTAGTTGGAACATTAGGTTCAACTCGACTATCAAAGAGTTTGATTTTGAGAAGAGCCCGGAGGAACCTTGTGTATACAAGAAGGTTAGTAGGAGGGCAGTTATATTTTTGATGCTTTATGTTGATGACATTCTACTCATTGGGAATGACATAGGAATGTTGCAACAAACAAAAGCATGGTTGTCCACACGTTTCTCAATGAAGGATTTGGGAGAAGCATCTTACGTATTAGGAATACGGATCTATAGAGATAGAGCAAGAAAGATGCTTGGCTTATCCCAAAGCCTGTACATAGACACCGTTATGAAACGGTTTAGCATGGAAGAATCCAAGAAGGGATTCTTGCCAATGTCCCTGATACGCGTTTTCCTCACGTATAAATTACCGCAAGTATACGGTATCGCATTTTGCAGAACAGTGGTTCCGGATATCGATCCACAGGGACCTTGTAGATTCAAATGCTGAGTAGTGTAATTATATTATCGTTATATTATCTAGCCGATCGTAAATAAGTGGATTGGTGAGAAACCCTAATTTAAAAGCATGCAAGATCGTAAACATGCAAATATAGAATGTACGTAAATAAAGTAACGACACTTCAACGCGGGGGACTTCGATTTAAAGGGGACTTCTAGGGCCAAATCCACCTAGGTATAATCAACAACGATCGACAAATCCGCTATCTAAAATCACGCTCCTATTCGTTAACCCAGACGCTAATGTACTCTAACCCCCGTCTCTAGTGTAGTTAGAGTCTACCCACAGGTCCGACGTCTCCGTTCAGAACCTGCTATTAAGAGAGCATTTAGGCCAAGTCCTTAAGGGCTACCCGAAGTGCATCACGTCTCCGTTTCCACACCCCGAGCTATGTTTTCCTAACTTCAAACAAGAAATCCTCTCTCGAGTTCATTCCTATTTAATATCAATCTGAGAGCTGATCAACACAATCAGAAGCATTTAATACAGGAAAACATAAACGAAATCAAAACACGATAAATAGATAACAGAAATGACGATCGAAATCAATATATACAAGGCTTCATTCCCTAGAAGAAAATGTTCTTAGTTCATAACAAACATAGTATCAAAAGAATGTACAAAGGAAATGAAGAACAAAACGTAAAGAAATTGCGTAAGAAAAACCCAAGTCGGAACCCCCGTTGATGATTCCCGCGAAGAACCGTCGAAAACCGTAAAAAGTCGAAGTAGAACGAAGTGTGAGGGCTTGCTTCTATTTATAGTAAATTGCAAAGCTTCCTCAAGAAGCTTTGCTTTTTAAAATATCTGCCCTTGAAAATCGTGCCAGATCGCGATCCAATAAAGTCAGATCGCGATCTGGCTTCTCAAAAAAAACGTGAACCGCCTCCCAGATCGCGATCCAGGAAGTGCGGATCGCGATCTGGGTCTGAATATTGTTTGCCACTGGAATTTGTCACCAGATCGCGATCCGACTTTCCTGGATCGCGATCTGGGTCTGAACTTTGCTTGCTACTGGAATTTGTCGCCAGATCGCGATCCGGCTTTCCTGGATCGCGATCTGGGTCTTAATGACCACTTTCTCGGCTTGAAAAATCGGTTTCGCTTCCAAATGGCTTCGACTTGGCAACAAAAGCTAACAAAACCTAAAAAAGGAAATAAAACAAGAAACGCAATAATATAAACAAATAAAGCCGAAACTCGAACGAACGAAGACCAAAACTCGAAGATTTGATAAGCAAAAATCGTGCAAAACGACCACTTATCACACCCTCAAACTTAGATCTTTACTCGTCCCGAGTAAATCAAAACGAAACTACAACAAAAATGAAAATAAAAACACCAAACTAAACTAGGCCACTAACGTAGGGAATCACGATTGCATTTAGCGTATGCAACAAGCCTTTGAACCCCTGGGTACCCCCAAAGGACGAGTTGTGTCTCGTGAGGGTTTTCAGACAACACACCCACAAAGTTGCCGGATTGGTCAAAGCATTGCAATTAATTCGAAAGATAAAACGAGCTAGATAACCTAAAATCTCAGAATGGCCCACGGCTTTAAGGTATTCGACTTTCCTACCGACGCAATTAGTTGTTTCTACACCAAAATGAAAGATAGACTCAAGAATCCGTAATTAAACAATAAACACAATCATCGAGGGTTTTGAGTAGAAATGTGGGTGAAAAGTAAGTTTTGATTCTGAAATTCAAAAACTCGAGTTGGGCATAAGTAGGTCTTTTTATTCAATAAGATACGACAACAACAATATATTGTCATTTTTCTCACAACTTTCTTTTTTTTTTCTTTTTTTTTTTTTTTTTTTTTTTTTTTTTTTTTAACATATCGAATAAAAACGTAAAGACCATTGATAGAACTTCTAGCCAACAACTCGAAATCGTGAACACATAATTCAATTCTAACCTGCCCCCCAAACCTCAGGCTATTATACCCTTCAGAAAAATGCGCTCAAGCTTAATCGGAAAGGATTCGAAAGGCTATCCACACAAGTTGCAAAAACGCAGTCGGAAGGTTCATCTATAATTAGCCGGTGATCCACAATTTCAATTTTAAAATCAACTAGCCCATCTACTAATTCATTAATTGCTTTGCTTCAAAAGAACCCGGAAATGCAAATTACACTCGATCCTAAATGAAATGCATGTGACAAACATAACATAATAACAGAAATCAAAATGCATAAACGAAACTAAATTATATGATATGCATGTAGAAGACCAAATCAAAATAAGATAAATAAAATAAAATAAAAACAAAGTCTAGCAAAGATACATCGTAAACGAAATATCAATCCAACGACTCATCCCAAAACAAACGAACTAAAAACAAACAGGTTCAACACACACCACCCTCAAACTTAAATCCTAGCATAGTCCATATGCTCAAAAGCAGAATAAAAAATAAAAGGGATAGAAAACACAACGTCCCCTAGTTGTCTTGATCGTCCTCGTGGGCTCCTCCCTCCTCTTCCGGTCGTCCCCGCTCGTACTCCTCCCAGGCCTGTGCCACCAGTGTAGTGGCTGCCGCTTGTGCTTGCTCGTCGGCGGCGGAGGTTGATGCTCCATCATATCGAGGCCGTGGTGGGAACGGCCGTGGCTCGACAATGTCATCGGTCCTGCACTGAAGCGCTGCAGCCATGGCCTTCATCATTTTCTTGAACCATCCCACATTTTCCTCCATAACATCCATCCATTGGCCGACATACTCCGGGAGCTGTGGTTCTGCTTCTTGTCTGCCTCTTCTGGCCCTTTGTTGTGGTCGAGCCGCATGAACACCTGAGGGATCCGCATCTGGTAAGTCTGAGTCGCCCTCGCCTAGGGGTCCACTCGCTGGCTGGAGCTTGTGGTAAGGGAAGATAGGCTGTGGTGACCTGGTGAGCCGGTCATCCGCGTATGTGGGGACCCCTGCACGATCACACAGTGTAGTGATGAGGGAAGGGAACATCAGACCTAGAGAGGTATCACCTAAGCATCGTCGGATCTCAGCGTGTATGATCGCGCCCACATTCACAGGTGTCCTCTTCATAATGGCATACATCAGTGTAAGACGTGGGGCATAGGTCTTGGCCGTCGATTTTGTGGGCATGAGCCTGCTACTGACGAAGTACATCCAAACCTTCGCTTCTCTTGAAAGTTCTCCCCGACGAAACCAGTGCTCTCCTTTTTCCCACTTCGAACCCCTAGGGCAAAGAGTCTGAATCAGCTCCTCATAGGTCGTTGCCATCTTCAGTTGTTGAAACGGCTCGGTCGGGACTTCGGGTAGGTGGAAAAACTTGTTGATTGTAGCAGCGTCATAGCGCACCTCTTTGTCACGAAGAACGACCACCGACCCCGGGTGAAAACCGGCATTGGCATAGAAGAGCCTCACTAGATTCTCGTTGTAGTCCTCCGGTCGTTTGGCCAAGTACTTCCATTGTCGACGATCAAAGTTTTCTATGATCGATTCTTTTTCCATGCCATCGATATCTAATTCCCTTTCTGGAACAAACGGTCGGCTGTGGCGACGTATGAATTCCCTTTTGGCCTCGACGTTCACGTACAAAAACTCATCTCCCGGTTCGAGGACTACGCGGTCAAGGATGGTGTGTTGATTAGCACGGGATCCCATCTCAAGTTGCACGTTTCCCGTGCGTGGGGTTTGTTGCTCTTCCGGCACCTGAGATGGTGGTGGTGCGCTCGAAGTGCCCTCCTGGCTTCCCGTGCCTCGAGAAGCCGCCTTTTTCTTCGGTGCGGCTTTTCCCTTTGCCGGAGCCTTCTCCTTGGGTTGGGATTTTTTGGTGGTTTCGCCCGTCTTTAAGAGTTTCTTGGCCGGCGACGTCATTTCCTTCGACTTTGTGCGAGATGGAGGGTCGAAAGCCTTTGGAAGTTCGTTCGGGAATTTTGTCGAACACTTGGCGTGCCCAACTTGGTAAGCCTTTTGATTTCCACCGGTTGTTCGGTACCTATCCCTCCTACATCAATCACAACACCCTAGTGAGAATCCACCACCACAATCAACAATAGGTAGCTAAACAATCAACCCAAGTCATTCAAATCTTTATTTTATCCTTTAGTTCGAAATTAAGAACAATAGGGCAATTCCTATATCTAAACATTGGTTCACCCGCAAATTCATGTTTTGAATCCCAGCACCAAGTACAAATTCACGTACAAGCATACACAATTAACAAACAAGGGGAAAAATCATGAAATTTTGGGGAAATTCGAAAGAATTGGAGAAAATAAAAGAAATGAGGATTAGATTGAAAATTTACCTTTTCTTGAAGATTCACCCCCAAATTCTTGGAGTAAATGTGCAAATCGTGAATTTGTGATGTTCAAGTGTGTGATTGATGTGCTTTTATGAAAGAAATTTGAAGATTTTGAAATTGGGGAGGGGTTAGGGTTTGGAATTAGAAAGAGGGGAAATAAGAAAATGAAGGGGGATTTGTGCTTTTGAACTGTTTTTCGGCCCCAGATCGCGATCCACAATACCCGGATCGCGATCTGGGGGCTTACCTTGCAGCTTCTGGAAAAAGGCCCCAGATCGCGATCCGGCTTACCTGGATCGCGATCTGGCCCCTAAAATTTCAGCTTCTGGAAAAACGTCCCAGATCGCGATCCGACTTACCTGGATCGCGATCCGGGCCCAAAATTCGCTGCCACTGGAAAAACGTCCCAGATCGCGATCCGACTTACCTGGATCGCGATCCGGGCCCAAAATTCGCTGCCACTGGAAAAACACCCCAGATCGCGATCCGACTTTCCTGGATCGCGATCTGGGACACCAAAAACCTGCCAAAACGAACATTTAAATGGGTGAGATAGAGGTGTTGAACCCTAAATAATAAAAAAAAAATGCACGAAAACAAGAAAAAAAAGAAAAAAAAGGAAAATGACAGAATATGAACAACAATGGGTTGCCTCCCATTTAGCGCCTGTTTTACAGTCTACGGCTCGACTTCTTTTGAATTTATTGGGAGAAAATTAGTGCGACACGCTCCACTTCCTCGGGAGCACCATTCGGGTAGTAATGCTTAACTCGTTTCCCATTCACTTTGAACGACGGACCGTCTCGTCCTCGTATTTCGATAACTCCTTGTGGGGTTGCGCTCAGGACTACGAATGGTCCCGACCAACGGGACTTGAGCTTTCCCGGAAATAGTCGTAGCCGAGAATTGAATAGCAGGACTTGGTCACCTGCCCGGAACTCTCGCTTCGTAATTCTTTTGTCATGCCACTTTTTCGTCTTTTCTTTGTAAATCTTGGCATTTTCGTAAGCATCATTTCTGAACTCCTCCATTTCGTTGAGTTGAAGCAATCGACGATCGCCGGTAGCTGTTTGATCGAAATTGAGCTTTTTGACTGCCCAATAAGCTCGGTGCTCCAATTCCACTGGCAGGTGGCACGCTTTCCCATACACGAGTTTGTACGGAGACATCCCAATCGGTGTCTTGAATGCGGTTCGATAGGCCCAAAGTGCATCATCGAGCTTCAATGCCCAATCTTTTCGGTTCGTGCTCACGGTCTTCTCCAGAATCTGTTTGATTTCTCGGTTTGACAACTCAGCAAGGCCATTTGTTTGTGGATGATAGGCTAGCGCAATTTTGTGTCGGATCCCCAACTTGTTCGTGAGATTAGTGAGCAGTTTGTTGCAGAAGTGAGATCCTTCATCGCTAATGATTGCCCTGGGTGTCCCAAACCTCGAGAAGATGTTCTTGTGGAAGAATTTGAGGACCGTACGAGCATCGTTGGTAGTGGTGGCAATCGCTTCGACCCATTTGGACACGTAGTCCACGGCAAGCAAAATGTATAACTTCCCGTTCGAAGATGGGAATGGTCCCATGAAGTCTATGCCCCAAACATCGAAAAGCTCCACCTCTTGCATGTTGTTCAAAGGCATTTGGATTTTGTTGGATAGGTTCCCTGTTCGTTGGCATCGATCACACCGTTTCACGAACTCGTAACTATCTCTGAATAGGGTTGGCCAAAAGAAGCCTGACTGCAGAACCTTGGCGGCTGTGCGAGATTCCCCGTGATGCCCGCCACAAGGTGAAGAGTGGCAATGTGTGAGAATCTCACGTACTTCAGTTTCCGGAACACATCTTCGGATGACACGATCGGGGCCGGTTCTGAAAAGCAATGGCTCGTCCCAAAGATAGAAACGGCTGTCGTGAAGGAATTTTTTCTTTTGATGATAAGAAAGATCGTCAGGAATGATTCCACTGGCCAAGAAGTTGGCCACATCAGCATACCACGGAGTGTGAGTACTAATGGCGAGCAGTTGCTCGTCTGGGAAGGATTCCTGAATATTTCCTTCGGCTGGAACTTCTCCTAGTATGAGTCTGGAAAGATGGTCTGCTACCACATTCTCACTCCCTTTTTTGTCTCTGATTTCCAAGTCGAACTCCTGGAGTAGGAGTACCCATCTGATGAGTGTGGGCTTGGCGTCCTTCTTTGCGAACAAGTATCGAATAGCTGCGTGGTCGGTGTAAATGATCACCTGAGACCCCAAAATATACGGTCTGAACTTGTCAACAGCATAAACGACTGCAAGCATTTCCTTTTCGGTCGTTGAATAGTTCTTCTGTGCCTGGTCAAGTGTACGACTCGAATAGTAGATGGCTTTGAAGATTTTGTCCCTCCTTTGTCCCAATACAGCACCTACAGCATAGTCGCTCGCATCGCACATGATCTCGAATGGTTCCTCCCAATTGGGAGTAATCATAATCGGTGATTGGGTTAGCTTCTCCTTGAGAAACGTGAAAGCCTGCAAACAAGCAGAATCAAAATCAAAGACAGCTTCCTTCTCAAGCAAATGACATAATGGTTTTACTATTTTCGAAAAATCTTTAATGAATCTACGGTAAAACCCAGCATGCCCTAAAAAACTTCTAACTCCATTGACATCCTTCGGTGGAGGCAATTTTTCAATCGTTTCGATTTTTGCCCTATCCACCTCAAGACCCTTTTTCGAGACCTTGTGACCTAGAACAATACCTTCACGAACCATAAAATGACATTTTTCCCAATTTAAAACAAGGTTCGTTTCTGTACATCTTTTCAAAACAAGGTTCGTTTCTGTACATCTTTTCAAAACAAGTTCTAGATTGTGCACACAATGATCGAAAGACGATCCAAACACAGAAAAATCATCCATAAACACCTCAAGAAACTCTTCTACCATATCGTGAAATATAGACATCATACATCGTTGAAAGGTAGCAGGCGCATTACACAAACCGAAAGGCATCCTACGAAATGCAAAAGTACCGTAGGGGCAAGTAAAAGTAGTTTTCTCTTGGTCTTCCGGGGCGATTGAAATTTGATTGTACCCCGAATAACCATCAAGAAAACAGTAATACTCGAAACCTCCTAGCCTGTCTAGCATTTGATCGATAAAGGGAAGGGGGAAATGGTCTTTTCTAGTGGCTGCATTCAATAATCGGTAATCGAAGCATACACGCCACCCAGTGACAGTTCTAGACGGAATAAGTTCATTTTTGTCATTCACAATAACCGTCATCCCACCCCTTTTTGGCACAACCTGCACCGGACTGACCCACGGACTGTCAGAAATTGCATAAATCATACCAGCGCCTAACAATTTCAAGACTTCTTTTTTGACTACCTCTTTCATTGACGGGTTTAACCGCCTCTGAGGTTGGACTCTCGGTTTATAGATGTCTTCCATTAGAATTTTGTGTTGAACAATAGACGGGCTAATTCCCTTAATATCCTCAATAGACCAACCTATAGCTGACCTATATTCTCTAAGGACCTCCAGCAGTGTGTTTGTTTCGGACTCGCTCAAACTAGAAGAAATAATCACCGGATAAGTCTTGTCTGCTCCAAGAAAAGCATAACAAAGATAATCCGGTAATTGCTTCAATTCCAGTACGGGGGCCGTTTTCACACTAACTGGTATCTCGGGGACGATCCCTACCTCGTCTATGCCTAAAATCTCGGCACACTCAAGAAACAACACGCAATCAAGCACATCATTTTCAATAGGGGTTTCGGGGGAGGCAGAATGCAAATCAATAGAGTTAACAATGCAGTGCTCAACAGAATCACATAATTCACACAAATCAAAAAAGGAGGAAACACAGTCCTCGATCACGTCTATTCTACTGCAATGCTCAACATGCTCAGAGTGTTTAAATGCATCTGTCAAATTAAAAACAACTTCTTCCCCATTTACCCTAAGCATTAAAGATCCTAATTCCATATCAATCATCGCCTTACCAGTGGCTAAGAATGGACGACCTAAAATGATTGGTGCTTCATCATCTTCAGGCATTTCAAGTACCACAAAATCAGCAGGCAAAATGAATTTATCTACTTTAACTAGCACATCTTCTACAATCCCATCGGGATATTTCAATGAACGATCAGCTAGCTGTAAAGTCATGCGAGTGCGGTTCAAATTTCCTAAGCCCAGTTTTAGAAACACAGACATAGGCATCAAATTAATACTTGCCCCCAAATCACATAAAGCTTTATCGAAAGTAGAATTGCCAATAATACAAGGAATAGTGTAACTCCCTGGATCCTTCATTTTCGGTGGTAGATTCGACTGAAGAATGGCACTGCAAGTTGCCGTGAGTGTCACTGGTATGTCTTCTTCGATCCGAATTTTCTTGGATAGGACTTCCTTCATGAACTTTGTGTAGTTTGGCATTACCTCCAAGGCTTCTGCAAAAGGGATGTTGATTCGAATCTGCTTGATCTTTTCAATGAACTTCTTCAATTGATCCTTGAACTTCTTCTTCTTCTGTCTTTCTGGAAAAGGAATAGGAGTTACCATAAGAGGGGGATTATCAGGAAAAGAAATGTTATTGGGCTTACTAGCCTCTTTTGTACTACTCCCTGAAATGGTGATTTCCGGCTCGACCGGGGTCGGTTGTACAGCTGGCTTTGGTGATTCGTCTGTCGGATAAGGAGGATCGGTCATTTGCAAACCACTTCGGGTGGTTATGGCTTGACAGCTTTCCTTTGGATTGACTTCGGTATTGCTCGGAAATCCACCCTTGGCCATTGTGGACATGGATTGGGCGATTTGCCCTATTTGCTTCTCCATGTTCTTCATTGTTGATTTCAGGCCCTCCATTTCCTGTTCTTGTCGGTGAAGACGCTCGTCATACGTTGGCCCTCGTTGCTCTCTTTGGTGGTTGAAATCGGGAGGTGGTTGTAGAGCATTCTTTGGATTGGCATAGGAGAAGTTCTCGTGATTCCGAATTCCCGGGTGGTAATGAGTAGGATTTTGGTTCTGATTGTTGGTTCCTCGGAAATTGTTGAATCGGTGGTTCATAAAGTGTGCCTGCTCCCAATCGTCGTTTGTGGCTTGTGAGGTACTTGCTGCTGCTACTCGTTCGGTCTGTGGCCCTCGAACTGAAATTTGGGCGACCTGATTTGATAGGATCGCTAATTGTGCTGAAACTGCGGCTAAAGGATCGAGTTGGTGGACTCCGGCCACCTTTTGTATACCACTCCGTTCGGACGGCCAATGGTAAGCATTTTCACACATTCGCTCGACAATGTCTCGAGCGTCTGTGGGAGTCTTGTTTTGCAATGATCCACCTGA